CTTAGCCATTCAGGTTTGATGACCTTGAATTTAGTGTTTAAACATGACCCTTTACCCTTGGCCAGGGCTGACTTTTTGGGCAATATGAGCTTGATGTTTCAAAAAATCAAACAGCTGCAAGCACCATATCCTACTTAATGAGCTAACAAAGTTTTCATATTTATAGAATCTACAGATAACAAATTCTGCGTCTAAAAAAGTTAAATAAACTGTCTGCTCATTTTCCATTATGTCACACACACACATAACATAAGCCAAATACTTTTGTTAAAACTTTTGCACTAGAATGCAAAAGAAGTCAATCAATGGCAAACTTTTAAAACTCTACATTCTATTTGCAGCACAGACACTGGGACAAGCGATACCCCACTTTTCACGTGTTTGAATCAATGATTAATAGTGTATGTTTTTTTGTTTTTCTCACTTCACAACATTCTGACCAGCATTAAGAGTGCTGTAATAACATCTTCTGCATCAAATGTAAACGCTTTACTGCTGTACTGAGAAGAGACCATAAGGAAATATGACTCAAACAGACATTTTCATTAAAAGTGTTTTCGTAACTTGTTAAAAAAGGATCAAACTATTTTAACAGAGTAAATATTTTAAATAGGCTAAAACAGCCTGTTTTGGACTACTGGATCAACAAGACTTCACATAAGGCCTAAAAACAATTTTGATCCATTTGAAACATCCCAAAATGTACATCATGGTCACTCTAAAATACCAAACAATTTTAAACTTAAATGTTAAAGCAAAGAAAAAAAAATCTCACTACATCACAGTGAAACAATCAAGCCTAAATAAATTTGGGAGCTATAGGCAACAGGTTACTGACACAACATTAAGACCTGGCCAAACAACAGTGTATCCTCCAAAATACTAATCACATCCATGATATAAACTGTATGTAGGCTATTGCATGCTCTGGACGTGTATCATCAGGGTTGAGACTGTGTAGACCAAGAGTTTGATTAGCCTAGCCTATCACATATGTGTTCTGGGGTATCAGGAGTGAGTTTTTTCGGCTTTCTATAATTGTATGGGACCATTTGAAATGTCAGAAGTTTGATGAAGTGTATCATGAGCATGATGATGAGTTTTGAAGGTGTGATGTTATAGTAAGGTGTACATCAACTGGTTTATCATGATCAGTGTGTGCTGCTGATGAACAGCCCCTACCTGTTCTCTCGATATACAGGGTAATGAAGGTCTGCGGGGCATCTTACAACTGCCATAATAACTGCTGGACGTCTCTCCCAAAGAAACACAGCTGGACCTTCTCCTGGGTCTGATGACGGGAACTTTCTCCTCTGTGTTAGGAATCCTGCCGGCCGTCTCCCTCGGTGGGTAATAGTGATCAAAACAAAGCGCCAGTAGAGAGCCGGAGACCCCCGCTATACACGCCAGCACCGGCCTGAGGGACGGAGACAGGCAGCCGAGGCTGGTGAAGGACAGCAGCCACACCAGGCTGGCGAAGACCAGGATCAGGACGCTGTGCTTAAGTTTGAGAGTGGGGATGAGGGTGAGCAGACCCACGCAGCCCAGCACAAACAGCAACCTGCCCATCATTTGCATCTGATGGTGCTCCTCTCCCCACTGCAACAAGCGCAAGACCATCAAATCCCCCAAGTAGCATGATGCTGGTAAGGACAAAAGCCAACATCTGCTGCTCTCCCTCTTCGTCCGCCTCAGGTAGAGGGTCAGAAAGAAATACGCGCAGCCGATGCTGAATAAAGGACTGATGGACTGTGAGAAATCAAAGAGGAAAGTCCGCAGATCTGAGACGCCGTGTTTACTCTGAAAGCTCTTCGAAATGAAACAGGAGAGCGCCAGAACCGCCAGCGCTCCCACGTAGAGAGCCGAGCCGCGGAATAGTTTGGACTTGAGGATATCCTCGTTGCAAAACCTGCAGACGTTGAATAAAAAGCCCCTCGGATGGTCTTGTTTTAACGGAGTGACGCAGCTCTTCACATAGCCGTTCCTGAAGCTCTCCGCGCTGTTTGCATTGCCAACAACACCATCGTGCTGTCTGATTTTACTGTGCAAAACCTCTCCGTCCTCCCGCACAGCCATGTTGTCCTCCTTCCGTGCTCTTTAAACTTTCATTCCTTCGAAATAAATCCTCCGTGTGTCAACGTTTCACTACATGACGGCAAACGCGCTCCATGGTCACTCAAACGTGCTCAGGCATTTTGGCCAGGAGGAAAAGAGGCTGAAATGTTTTTGTTTTTTAGCAGACTCGAGCTCTATGTCGCCGTCTAGGTGCGACAATTTGTAACAATGACTAGAGCGCGAGACACAGACGCGCGCTCTCTCTGCAGCGCAGCCAAACCGCGCGCACCTTCAATTTATGTCTATATTTTTTCATTTTTTAGTCAGATTTACTACCGTTATTGCAATATTTAAACAATACTTTAGACGGCTAAGTTGTAAACATATTTTATGTATATATTTGTTGAAAGATCTTAAGACCTAAAACACGGGAGCTTGTGAGTGTGTCCTATATTAGATATAGCCTACTTTTGAGTCGTGTGTAGGCTAGGCTACACATCCATTTTCTTTATTGTTTGTTTATACTTATACGATTCTATCTTATAATTAAGCTAAGCCAGTATTTAGTAATGTAAATAGTATTGAGTATTGAGCCATTCGCGTTTTCCGATGTTCATGAGCCAACAGGCCCTATGGTTTCAATGCATAAGCACCACAAGAGGTCACTAACATTACATAGACATTATGTTGCAGCTGAGTTGTCTTGTTTCTTACCAATGGGGGTTCCAGAATCTCAGCCAACCCAGGAACCCCCTATTAAAATGCTGTTTTACACTGCAAAACACATCATTATTATATTATGATAATTTTGGTTGAGTCTCTCAATTAGCTTTGCATTCTTTGCAATGTCCTCTATAAAAGCAACAAAATCAACCAAAGATGATATCACCAAATATCAACCAAAGATATTAACCACATAACAAATAATGGTGACACTTTGTAATAAGGTTTCACTTTTAAACATTAGTTTACTGCACTAAAATGAACAATATTAGGCCAACTTCTACATCATTTGATAATTTTTTTTTGTTGATAATTTGATAATCTTAATGTTAATTTCAACATTTACTAATACATTTTGTAAAATCAAAAGTTGTGGGTCTATTTGTTAACATTACAGTTATACATGAACTAACATTAATAATTGTATTTTTATTAAATTACATTAACATTATATTGTAACGTTTTGGCCAAAAACTTTTGATATTTTTAGAGAAATTGCTTCTTGCCAATGGATCAGTCCACAGAGCCCCTGCACATTCATGAACGTGTTACATGTACATTACCTTATCCCTTTCGGGTGTTATTTTTAGTTAGGTCAAACAACTGTAGCAACATTCATTGTTAATACTGAAGCTTTTTTTTTTTTTTTGCAAGACAGAACTGACCTTAAGATTATACGATTAAAGTATAGAAATCCGGGGGACATAAATGGCCTCATGATCCTTTTGTATTTGTTCAGTCAACATCTTTTTCTATTTCCTAAAAAAAACATATTGTAAAAAAAGGGAAAGTCCCTCCAATGCCAATGCTTCAGGTAAAAAGGAGCTGTATTGTGAAAAGTCTTGAACACAAGGAATGGTTTGTTTAATGTTCTTAAAATGACTCACATTTGTAAAAAGATCCAGATATAAGTTTATGAAAAAGTAATATATTTATTCCATATTGATGAGCAAGAACAATTCATGCATTTGGCTGGAAAATTGGTTTGAAATTGTGGTTCTCGCATTATGGTTCAATTATGATCTCAAAAGATGGAGACTAATGCTGGTTCCATAATGCATGAAATTGACCTCATTTATTCACTTCTGTGCTGCAATCCCCACAGCTATCTTAAGAGCTTTTCCATGATTCCAACTGCATAAGTGGTCAATAAACCACCAGTGATTCTCATGTGAAGATAATGTATCTTCCAAGTTTTTATGGTAAAAAGCAGTTCAGCATGAGGCTATGACATGATATTCATACACAAATGTATGCACTCTGTAAAGGCTTCAATGTACTGTGTTGATATGAAGGAATGTTCCATATTGATTAATCAAGTATTTTGAATTGCGCATTGTATTGTGTTTAAGGGTTAAACGAAATGTATGTAAACTGGCAGAAAATTACCAGTATATCAGTTTTTTTTTCTTACAGTGTAAAGTAATAAAAAATATAATAATGTTACATTGTAAATGTAAATATATATGGGATAAAATGTATTATTCCAATATTATTTTAATTGTTAAAACAATGAGAGAATATTTTAATATTTAGATTGAATGGTAAATATAATAGAGAACTAAAATGCTACTGAAAACCTTCTTAGTGTAGTAATCTCAACAGGCCTGTCTTTTGGCCAAGACACTGAATAGAAATAGAAGAGACAAAATATTTTATAAATGTATTTTTATTAGCCATTACTGTTTCATACCAGTATTGTTTTAGTATCGTTGAGATGCTTTTACAGTTTTTATTAATATTTTGAATTACTTTTTGTTTTTATATATTCCATTTTAATTTTAAATAAAGTTTTTATACATTTTTATTGTGTGTTTTTGTCTATATAGTTTTTATTAGGGTATTTTTTCTGTTTTAGTTTTAGCTATTTTATAGGCTATACATCAAGATAAATTAAATTGAAAAGTTGCCTGGACATAAGTGAAATAAAACAAGGTTATTTTTTGATATATTATTTTATTTCAGTTTACGTTTATTTCATTTACAGCAGCTAACGTTTTTTTTTTTTTTTTTTAATAAATATAATAACTCTCAGATCAACGAATACAAAAAGCTTATACTATCGAACCCTTTCGCAACAAATATTAGGTTTTGTTTTTACCTTACACATCTTGACTAACACAAGGCAAATTAAGAATAGCATTCCAGTATAAACCAGTAGAACATAACCTCAAACAGACACACACCACAGCCACGAACGTAATCGCTGCAACAAACTTTCGCGTTTGTGTAACCGTGTAGTGTGGTCCCCCTCGCTCGCTGTAGTATTGATGTGGCCAAGTCAGTCAGGTTCCACGTCACTCGGAAGGATCGGAATCTCTCCAGACACGGATGCGCATACAGAAGAGACAGACCTGAGACCTATTTGAAAGGTAATAAATGAACAGCTTAACAAGAAAGCACATTAATAAAAATCGAATTTGTTGTTATTTTAAGCCACAGACAATAATCACCGGTTGTCTGTGTTCGTTTTTATCATAGACTGTTAGCGTGCTAGCTGCTACTGCAGCAGTGATGTCGATTGATCACGCAATCAATCAGTAATATAACTACAACATTAACTGTGTTATCTATATGTGTTATTAGACAGAAGTGCTGATATTAATACGTTTCGTGTTTATAATACATGCACACATGGTACAAATCGGCCTTTTTTCACGGCTGGCTCAGGGTTTTCAAACTAGCTGCTAATTCAGTGGATCCCAGTGCTGCCGTAGACCGTGAGACTTCTGACTGGATCTTGTTAAAAAAATCTTGTTAACAGGATAGATAGACTCCAAAATCACGGTCGACATTAGTTGAATGTATAGTTGGACTCTGCTTTATGTAGTTGCACATATACTTAGTATATGTCTTAGTATCATGGTGTTCTTTGAAGTGCAAGATACGTGAGAAGAGGTTGAAGTTTTACATAATAAAACTTAGAGAAATATAATTAAAACGATGTACACTTACATAAGGTGACTCCAGTTATAACAGTCTTACAGAAAATGGGTTTTATTGTACATGATGCTGGTAGTCCTTCATGGGCACCACCAAGTTGACATTACATGTCCTGCTGTGACATGCAATTGAGTAACTTCTATTAAAACTGTTTATTTGTATAGCGCTTTGTTTGAGCCAGTGCTCTGCTCAGGCCACTTAATGTACATGAATAAGTATAAAAGTACCAAACAATATACATAATTTCAACAGAGTTTTTACATTACACACATCATTATAGACTAAATTTCAAAGGCTGTTTTTGTTTATGGTATTAAATGACTATTCACTTGAACTTTTACTAATGTATTTTGTAACCTTTGTTTTAGGAAACCTCATAGGCATTCTGTCTGAGTGGAGTCTCGTGAAGGGAAGAAGAGCTGACATCATGACAGCCGCGGAGAATGTGTGTTACACCCTCATCAATGTCACCAATGACTCTGAACCACCATCGGAAGTCAGCTTAAAAACTGATTTAGGTAATATACATGTGTAGTAATTTGATATTAACCCCTTTTTTCATGCACACTATCGCTTTAAAAGTTTGGGGTCGATTGAGATTTTTTAATGTTTTTGAGAACAGTCTCTTGTTGCATTTATTTGGTCAAAAATGCAGTAAGACCAATAATATATTATCAAATATTATTACAGTTTAAAAATAATAATGTTCAATTTTATATATTTTAAAAATTAATTTATTCCTTTGATGGCAAAGCAAATTTTTTAGCAGCCAATACTCCAGTTTTTAGTGTCACGCAATCCTTCCGAAATCGTTCTAATATGCTTTGATTGATTCATAGAAAGTTCAAAAGAACAGCAGTTATTTTAAACCTAAATCATTTAGAACAATGTACAAGCCTTGACTGTCATTCTTGAACAACTTAATGCAAATGTATCCTTGCTGAATAAAGGTTTTGACCCCAACATTTTGAAAGGTGGTAAATGTGGGGGTTAAAATGCACCCTAACACTTTTCCTCTTTTATTCTTGTCAAAACAGAAAAGGGAGAAATCAAAGCCAAGACAGAGGCTTTGAAGAAGGTCATCATCATGATCCTGAATGGAGAGAAACTGCCAGGCCTGTTAATGACCATCATCCGGTTTGTGCTGCCTCTGCAGGACCACACAATTAAGAAACTACTCCTAGTTTTTTGGGAGATTGTTCCCAAAACTACTCCTGATGGCAAACTTCTTCAGGAGATGATCTTGGTCTGTGATGCCTACAGGAAGGTAGGCATGACATATGGAGCTATAATGTGTATTGCTTATTGTGGGGGTATATTGTGTCTATTTCTTTGTTGAAATATGCCATCTGTGTTATGCATCTGTAGGATCTCCAGCATCCCAATGAGTTCATCCGTGGCTCTACCCTGCGCTTCCTGTGCAAGCTGAAAGAATCTGAGCTGCTGGAGCCCCTTATGCCAGCGATCCGCGCCTGTCTGGAACACCGTCACAGCTACGTACGACGCAATGCAGTCCTGGCCATCTACACTATCTACAGGTGTGTTGATGGATCTTTGTGTGCACAAGTGAGAGACAAACATCAGAGACCATTTTCATTTATTCATTTATTATTTTTTTAGGAACTTTGAGCATTTGATCCCAGATGCTCCTGAGCTGATTCATGATTTTCTTGTAAATGAGAAAGATGCAAGCTGCAAGAGAAATGCTTTTATGATGCTGATTCATGCAGATCAGGTACACAGTCTGATTAATAATAATAATTATTATTTTATATAATTTTTGTTACAAGAATGAATCTCATGAAGCTAAGTAGCTGTTCTTTTAATATATTTTTGCAGGATAGAGCTCTGGACTACCTAAGCACATGTATTGATCAGGTGCATACTTTCGGAGACATTCTACAGCTCGTCATTGTGGAACTAATTTATAAGGTGAGGTGTCTATTCATATCTTAAAGTAATTCTTGTTTAACCCACAGAGACCCAGCGTAGCAGGATTGCTTTGTAAGTATAAAGCAATTAAATATAGAACTTTCTTTAAATATGGGTAAAAACAACACATAACAGTTGCTCACACTCTAATATTGATCACAACAACAGTCACACAATATGTCACCAGCCAGCTGACACATTTCTTAACAGTATTAGAACAAATTTATATATTTACAAAATAAGTATTTGATATGTAATATTTTCTAATATTTCTAAATGTCTAGTGATGGGTAAAGGCTTGCATACCTTGACATTTTGAACGTAAATAATTTTGAGAAATTATTTGTAGGCGTAGCAAAAATGAAATGCTGGGCATTAGGGGTCAAATGTTTTCCTATTGTTCTCACACAATTAAGCCTCTTCAGTGAATGAATTATTCCAATTTTATCAGGTGTTTTCTGAGCTGTTTCGGCATTATTGTCTCAGTGATATAACTATAAATATGTTTAAAATAAGTGGTATTAAAATGACTATATTAAATTTAATATAAGCTTTGCTTGGAATTTAAAATGAGAAAATAGTGACATTTATTAACTTTTCATGGCTGAATTGTGTTGAGAATTCAAAACTTTCAATTACGATATAGTGGTAAAATTTTGCAGCCTTAAAGCTGCAGTCCGTAGCTTTTTTAAGTTAAAAATAATCCAAAATAATTATATAAAAAAAAACGTATTCTGCCAGTGGTCAAAACTATCTGCTTGCCATAGCTAGAGTCAAAACGGTTAGCTTGTAATAATGATTTTAATTCCAGTGGTACTGGTGGGTTTCTGCGGGAAATTCGAGCATGTCTTTGCGTCATTACGTCACACCCGTACACATAAAGTTTCGGCTAGCCGGCTATACTGCGCGTGACGAGATGTTTAGATGTATAGGCTTTTCTCGCAGCACTTTACATAATTAAACTTATGGCGGATCCAGAAAGATCCAAACAACAATCATCAGTGTCAACTGGAGATTCAGCAGTTATAAAACCTAAAAGACTTCGTACTTCGGATTTAAGGTGCCTAGAGAAAGAGAAAGAAACCGTCTAATGCGAACACAAGGATTAAACATCGGCGGGGCTTTTGAAAAGTGCGTGAACTCCGTGTTTTGAAGGGGTTCAAAACGGAAGAAGAGACGGCTTTTTTCTGCTGAACAAGTAAGTTAAGACATTTCAATAGTTCAATCGTGTAACAGTACGTTTTCTTAATTCACACAGTTATGGAGTTTCCTTTGTTGTGCCTTTCTCGTTTTGCTATTATGGAGAATATGAATTCTGAACTACACAGGTAGCTGCTAACCATAAAACACATTAAATTTAACATTAGTCACGCAATGCTGATGTTGTTAACATGAACAATTTGAGAACAAAGTAGGCTATAATTTGCACGGTTGCTGTAAATCGCGCTGATTAAATCTAACGAAGCTTATCATGTCGAATGCTTTTTCCCCCTTAGTTGGTCAGAACAAAAATGGATGTTACTTGTTCAGAAGACATTTTCTTATGAAAATTCTTATGTTGGTCAAACTTTCAAAAAGTGAATCTGTGATTCTGTATGACAGTATCCACACAGCAGCACTCGCCTCAAAACACTGTGTTCATCCGCACTGTTTCATGCCGATTTACAACCCACGTAAAGATGATAATTCCGCGAATCACTGCAGTTACAGATTTCGAACAGAGAGATGGCGACAAAGAGGAAAAGCTACGGACTGCAGCTTTAAATTCTCAACACTGCATTTTTTTATGTAATTAATTGCCTCTTAAATGCATGAATAAGGGTGAAAGAATACATCATGAATATCAATGTGTTTTTTTACTAACCCTTATGTCGTCTTAAAGCTGTATGCTAAAGCTGTATTTAAAAAAAAGAATATTAATAGTTTTTGTGTGTAACAACAGTTCATGGTGACCATGGGCTGTTAAGCTCTAAAGGGACAAAAACACAATGAAGGTGGTCCTTATAAGTTTTGTGCTTTTATCCACATTTACTGATAAAATACTCTTTTACAGAACTGCTGTCATCAACAGCACAGTTATTCCTAATGCTTAATTAATTAAATGCTGAGCTCTTCAGCATTATGCTGTTTATGCACACTGCATATTATCAGGTGGTCTAGATCAGTGTTTCCCAACCTCTTTTTTTTCTTTTTCTTTTTTGCCAAGGCACAGTTTTGATAAGTAAAAAATCCCACGGCTCACCACTAAGCACTAAAATAACAAAATTGCACAACATGCATTGCTTCAAATGGCATATTAAAACTCAATATTATATTAAAAGAAGTAATTACATTAAACGTGATTACTATTTTTAATATAACCACTAGTATGCCAGGATGCAGGGGTTGGGAATCACTGGTCTAGATTATAGAAAACAGTCTTCTCACTGTCTACTTTATATCTCTACATTTGTTTAGGTCTGCCATGCCAACCCCTCAGAGAGAGCTCGTTTCATCCGTTGTATATACAACCTGCTGCAGTCATCCAGTCCTGCTGTAAAATATGAAGCAGCTGGAACTCTGGTTACTCTGTCCAGTGCTCCCACCGCCATCAAGGTACAGTGTCTAACACCAGGGTTGTTCCCATATATACGTTTTCTGCATGGTGGAAAATAAAGTGGAATGACATTGGTTGAATGTTCTTTGTTTCAGGCTGCTGCTCAGTGCTACATTGATCTGATCATTAAAGAGAGCGACAACAACGTGAAACTCATTGTTCTGGACCGGCTGATTGAGCTGAAGGAACACCCCACACATGAGCGTGTGCTGCAGGTACACATGAGTTCATCACCTCTTGAGGAGCCATTCGTTCCACAAATGAGACCAGTAACAGGACATTTGGTGCTTTGTTCTGCTCGTAGGACCTTGTGATGGATATTCTGAGGGTTTTGACAACTCCCGATCTTGAGGTCCGCAAGAAGACCCTACAGCTGGCCTTGGACTTGGTGTCATCCCGCAATGTAGAGGAGGTGTGTGACAACATGCCATTTAAAGGGATGGATCATCAGGATTGTCATCATTTATTCATGTAGTTTCAATCCTGTATGACTTATTTTCTTAAGTGGAACACAAAAGGAGAAAATTTGAAGAATGTATTGGCCACTCTTTTCCATGTAAAGAAAGTGAACAGGGACTGTAAACGGCCAAAAAGAACCGTAAAAGCACTATAAAAGTAGTCTGTATGACTCATCCAAAGAAGTTTTGCATTTTGCTGTGTTCTCAAGTTCAAGTTTAGTGGACAAGTTTGGTTTGCATCACAAGTAGATTTGACCAATAGAACGATACGTCATAACGTGACCTCTTAGCTAAATTAAAAGTACACAAACTGTAAAGCTGCAGGTTTGTGATGCAAACTCATTTCGCATACTCAAAGTCTAGTGTAAAACTCCATAATTTTCCATTCTATTACTTTATTAGTGCTTTTTTTTTCTGAGTTTGTCACTTGACATCCTGGATCCCATTCCCCATTTAGTCTCTTTATATGGAGAAATAACATCAAGAAGATACAATGAACAAAATTAAAGTCTTTTATACAATGTCAAATAATTACTATGAACTAATTGCACTTTCCTATTCAAGCGAAGTGCCTGAATTGTTATTTTTCTGCAGCTGGTTATAGTGTTAAAGAAAGAAGTCATCAAAACCAACAACGTGACAGAGCATGAAGACACAGACAAGTACAGGCAGCTGCTTGTTCGCACTCTCCACTCGTGTAGTGTGCGCTTCCCTGACATGGCAGCCAATGTCATCCCTGTGGTACGTCTACTGACTGAACACTCAGAATGCTTTTTTACAGTTAAACTATTTCAAAATATTCTTTACTAGCAAAGAAATTGAAGTTACACACTTCACCAGATCGGTGGACTGTTTAACTTTTACTGTTAAAACATCTAGCCCTTTTCTCATCTTTACTCTTAAATTCACTTCTTGTGTTTTGTGTGGCCACAGCTGATGGAGTTCCTGAGTGACACTAATGAGGCGGCCGCAGCCGATGTGCTGGAGTTTGTGCGAGAGGCGATTCAGAGGTTTGACAACCTTAGACCTCTCATCATTGAGAAGATGCTGGAGGTTTTCCATGCCATAAAGACGGTCAAGTAAGAGATGCTTTTTAACTGCTTCCTTAGAACTTTGATAAATCCAATTACATAGATCATCTGTATATAAAAACTTAATTGGTGTATTATTCTAGACCGCTTGATAGTACTTTGTCCTGTTTAATGTTGTAAAAGGGATTGTGATGCATTGCAGTGATTTTTAAAAAAAGGACTTTTGTGTTGCAGGATTTACAGAGGAGCTCTGTGGATTTTGGGTGAATACTGCAGCACTAAAGAGGACATCCAGAGTGTCATGACAGAAGTCCGTAGATCTTTGGGAGAGGTCTGTAGTACATTGATTTGCATCGCTTTTGTCATATCCAGAGCTCGTCATTAAAGTGTCACGAACTTTGTGTTCCGAACGCGGAATAACATTTAAAAGGTCTAATCATATTTTCATTATATTTACGAGCACTACAGTCTCTGAACAAACTACACGCGTCAGTTCAACAGAGAAAAAGAATAAAGGCATAGTTACTTTTTTGTCCATTGTTCTTTGAATTTTTGGTCTACATCATTGTTTTCTGTGTATCAGAATAATTCATCGTGTCATCATGTTCATCGTCAAACGTACGGCTGTATCAACGTCCATATTTGCACATATATTTAAATTGAAGAAGACGTGATTAAATATGTGCGCATACACAGTGCGGGTTCATGTTTAGAGCACTGGAGTAAATATGTCCATAACTTGAAACACGCTTACTCTAGTCCGTATATGATCTATGGCCCACGTTGTGAGTGTTGTTAAACTCATCACGGCGCTCAAAAAATGTGTTTTAGGGTTTCATGACCCTTTAATGCTTGTCCGGAACAAGCCCTAAATGAATTCGGACAACTGAAATGTCAAATTAATTCCTTCAGAGTGATAGTAACCATATCAAGTCGAATGAAATTGAGTGGAAGGCTCGAGGGTTAAATAGTGTTGCAATACAAAATGCGGTGAAATAAGGACAGAAATATGTTATTGTATAATACAATTTTAATATTCTATATACAGGGTTTACATGGTTCTGGAAATATTTGGGAATTTCAAAAATGTGATTTCCAGGTCTGGAAAATTCTTGGAAATTAATATCTTTATAGGTTATGAAAAGTTATACAGTCGGTATAATACTAGATAATATTATAAAACTATTTATTTGGATAGAAACCATTATTGCGAGTGTGATTGCTGTAAAAATATTTTTTTAAATCTTTATTCAGTCATTACAAGTGACTGGAAAAGTAATGGAAATTAAATTGTCAGAAACTGCGAGGCCCTGAATATAACAATTCTACTACTATATTAATATAATAGTTATTTATCAAAATATGCAGTTTTACAGAAAACAATAGTGTGAATGATTCAGTGCACAATATACATCTAAAACTGAGATACGGCTGACTCTTGCGAAAATTGCGATTAACATCCTCTATAAATGTCTCTACACCTTATAGTGCTTTCAAACATTAAATTGTTTTATATTATGTGTTCTTTCTTCTTATTCAGATACCAATCGTGGAGAATGAATTGAAGAAGGAGTCTGGAGAAGTGAAACCTGAGGAGGAGATGACTGCAACTCCAGCTCCTAAGCTGGTGACAGAAATGGGCACCTACGTCACTCAGAGTGCCCTGAGTAGCAGCAGGCCATCCAAGAAAGAAGAGGACAGGTGATTATCTCCCCTTACTGATACATTATGGAGATAGTCCTCCGTATTACATCTCTAAAATATCCCTTTATTCTGTAGGCCTCCTCTAAGGGGTTTCCTGATGGATGGAGACTTTTACGTTGCTGCCTCATTGGCCACCACCCTCACCAAAGTGGCCCTGCGCTATGTTGCCCTTGCCGAGGACAAAAAAAGACAAAATGTAAATTCATTTTAAAACTCCTCATTCCATAAACAGTGACTAAACTGTCAATTTATTTATTCATGTGTCTAATTGTGGTAGAATAAATGTTATTTTGCTGTTTTTAGTCCTTTGTGGCAGAGGCCATGCTGTTCATGGCCACTGTGCTCCATCTGGGCAAGTCGTCTCTACCCAAGAAGCCCATCACCGATGATGACGTGGAACGGATCTCGCTGTGCCTTAAAGTCCTGTCCGAATGCTCGCCCCTCATGAACGACATCTTTAATAAAGAGTGCCGCAGATCCCTGTCCCATATGCTCACTGTCAGACTGGAGGAAGAGAAACTGTCTCAGAAGGTATATGGTATAATGTTGGATAATGTCTTAGATTAAAAGATCATCATTTGTGACCATGATATTGAATTATGTTGTTTTTCTTGTTTTATCAGAAAGAGTCTGAGAAGCGTAACGTGACTGTTCAGGCGGATGATCCGATCTCCTTCATGCAGCTGACCGCTAAGAGCGAGATGGCGTCCAAAGAAGATCAGTTCCAACTCAGTCTGCTGGCCGCGATGGGCAATACTCAGAGGAAAGAAGCCGCAGACCCTCTGGCTTCTAAACTTAATAAGGTATTTGGAGGATTTTATTTGTATCTTTTTGAATCTGTACAAGCCGTATTCTTATGATAGTGACAAAATTGGAAAGGTTGTTTGTAGTTTGTCATCTTTTACCACCAGAGGGCATGTTGGTTCATCTGATGGGAATTTTAACACTAAAATGTCACATCAGGCAGGAGCCTTAAGAGTGTTCCGTCCATTTACAGCATCTCACAATATAATAGTTCCGTACTTCAGAAAAGCATTTGAATTGCCGGTTTTGATCTTTTTCATTACAATGTATTAATAGCTTTTATATTTTTTGCATTTGTTTATCAGTTAGATTACCATGACTAGTGGTTCTCAACCTTTTTGACTCCAAGACCACAGCAATATTTGAAGGCCCCCTCCCCATATAGGCAAATAGCTTTGCTCTAGTACATCAGCTGTAAGTTTTGTTTTCGATGCTTATTTTAAATGTACAGAAACTAAGAGTTTCCATAGATTTTTTTTTTTTTTTTTTTTTAAGTAACTAAAATAATTCTAATTAAAATAAATACCTTTTCTAATTCCAGAAGTTTTAAAAGCTGAATGTTCTTCAATGATCCAACTCTATGTAACATGAATTTACATGACTTTTCTAGGTCCAGAAATGGCCATTTTAAACTTAGGCTACCTCATATATCCAGGGCGGTAGGGAAAAAATGCTGTTGAGCTAGTGAGTTAAAATATGAACTTTTTATTTTTAGCTTTTATAGCTTGTTTTGTCTCGTTTTAAATCATTTTAGGTTATCTTGAGGCCCCCTATTGGGCCCTGCCCCTTGGTTGAAAACCATGTCCTAGACTGAACCATCTCATGTTTTCTTCCAGGTCACCCAATTGACTGGTTTCTCAGATCCAGTGTACGCAGAAGCTTATGTACATGTCAATCAGTATGACATCGTCCTGGATGTCCTGGTTGTTAACCAGACTAGCGACACCCTACAGAACTGTACCTTGGAGCTGGCAACACTTGGTACAAGTTGTTCCTTTCATCCATAAAAATAATTTGTTAGTGTGTTTTTGGTGTATCTTTTACTGAATATATTCCTCAAACTCCAGGTGATCTTAAATTGGTTGAGAAACCATCTCCTCTCACATTGGCTCCTCACGACTTTGCCAACATCAAAGCTAATGTGAAAGTGGCCTCCACAGAGAATGGCATCATATTTGGAAACATAGGTTTGTGGACTATATGTAGATATCCTTATTTAAACCTGTACTATTTTGTTGTTGAGGTAGGACCTGGAATCAGTTCAATAATCAAAAACACATATTTTGCAGTGTATGATGTATCAGGAGCAGCCAGTGACAGAAATTGCGTAGTTCTCAGCGACATTCACATTGACATCATGGACTACATTCAGCCGGCCTCCTGCACAGATGCTGAGTTTAGACAGATGTGGGCTGAATTTGAGTGGGAAAATAAGGCAAGTCTGGGGGACTGGTAAATTCTTTGTGGATAACTGCTACGTTTATCTCCTTTCTGCTTGCTGGAATTTGTTCTGTTTTGTTTCCACACAGGTTACCGTCAACACCAACATCACAGATCTGACCGAGTATCTCCAACACATTCTTGGGTCCACCAACATGAAGTGCTTGACCCCAGAGAAGGTACAATACTCACTTGATGAGAACAGTAAACGCTCTGCTGGGCAGATTACTTACAATTTTTAGTCGTTTACTGATTCCAAATTACATGACCGTTTTAGTTAGTAACATAATCCATTACATTACACATTTACGGTAATATAATCTGACTACTTTGAGATTACTTTTCACCTAAACTTGTTTATCACATTACTTTGAATCGGATAATATTTGACCATGTAAGTTACAAAAATAATTTCCATGCTTTATCTACAACATGAAGTGCATTAAAAATTACATTACGTCAGGGTTTCCCAGACTGGGGTTTGTGATGGAACTGAATTAAACGTGCGAGTTTAATGAAAAGTATGAAATTAAGTGAATTTGTACATTTGAATTTGTTTGAAATACTAAAGTCTTCCAAAGACCATGGTTAAATGACTCATTGAGTGATAATTCAGATAAATGGTCATCAGGAGCTGATTAGATATGCAATGTTGAGAACTTCTTAAAAGTCAAATGATTTCTGTAAATCCAGTGATCTTCTGCACGAGTCTCAGTTTTCAGTGATCGGCTCATGGGTAGTGGCTGGTCTGTGTGTGCAATTCCATAAACCTGGAAGACCTTCTGAACGTATTTAAGCAGTAGGCTTTTTAAGAAAGGAAAATATAAAACAAAAAGTAATTGAGAGAATCAATGAATTATGAATAATTTACTGCCATTGTGAGAATAACATGTAATCAATAAAAAAAAGTCATTTAGTCCTATTACGAGGATTTTAAAATGTAATATAATCTAATTACAAGTACTTCATTTTTTGGAGTCCTATTACGAAATCCAGATTACATGTAATCAGTTGCTGCCCAACACTGAGTAAACCCCTCTATGATTTAATAATACATTTACATTCATATCTCATGTTTGTCTTTTGTAACTCAGGCCCTGTCCGGTATCTGTGGCTTCATGGCAGCAAATCTGTATGCTCGCTCTATATTTGGAGAGGATGCCCTTGCAAACGTAAGCATCGAAAAGCCAATCCACATGGGACCTGATGCCCCAGTCAATGGACATATTCGCATCCGAGCCAAAAGCCAGGTGATGTTTTTTACCCTTTGCACCGTTTTAATTAAAAGGCATTGGGATCTTTATAGTAAATACTAAATGCTGGATTAGCATTTTTGTGCCTACAGGCGTGGATAATGTTTTATAATTTCAGTAATGGATTTAGTAACTTCTTTTATAACTTTTTTTTTATCCTGATATGCCTTTGTATGTTTTTTTAATCTCCCTATGTGATGTTTTACTGCATGATTGATAACTCCTCTTTGTTTGTTTTTTTAATAGGGTATGGCTTTGAGTCTGGGTGACAAGATCAACCTCTCTCAGAAAAAGTCTCACTCATAAATTCCAACGACTGAGGCCATCGAGCCAAAGGGCGAGATTCGACTAAAAAGCGTTACCGTTATCCTACGTCTTGTCTTTTTTTCCCTATCGCTTGTTTGTGTCCCTCCAGACTGCCGTACACATGCAGTGCTTTGTGGCCAAGCTCTAAGCTCTTCAATCCCATAAAATATGTCTAAAGGGGATTATTTTGACATTTTCTACCAACACGATTCTTAACTGCTCTAAAAGGGATTGACCCTGTTCATCTGTAATCATGTTTCAATAAACATTGCACACCATATACCACGAAAGCGTTTTTATTCTCTTGTTAAACGAATAGTCTTACAATGACCCTTTTTTATGAATTGGGTCACTTGTAAGTATAAGAACAGTACTGCCCTTAAACCACAGTTGACACAACAAAGGATGTGTTCTCTTGAAGAAAATCTTCTGGAATCTTGAGAATTTGTTATGGTCTCCTGCCTCTTAGATGACTTGGACTCATAAGACTTGTGGTCAGTCATAACTTTCATATCTGCGTAATGCATAATAATATTAAGGACGAAGGCGTCAAGGTCATGGCTTTGCCCTGAGTAGATGAGCCACATAAATTTTTTTAAATGTTTTTTTGAAAGAAGGGTATAATACTCACCATTTGCATTTATTTGATTAAAAATTCAGTAAAAACAACAATATTGTGAAATATCATTACATTTTGAAATAACCTTTTTCTATTTGTATGTATTTTAAAATGTAATTTATTCTTGTGATGGCAAAGCTGAATTTTCAGCATCATTACTCCAGTCTTCAGTCTCACATGATCCTTCCGAAATCAATCAAATTTCTGATTTGGTGCTCAAGAAACATTTCTTATTATCAACATAGTACGGAGCCTCTAATGGGACATGGTGATGGAAAAAATGTGAGATGGGAGTAAAAAATATTACAATGCTTTTGCATTTCCTCTCAAAAGTTTTGCATTCCCTCGAGAAACTGTTCGCTCGCAAAATGTTTTGTTGAAGAACGCAAAACATTTTACAATCAAAAACGTTTTTTGAGGGTTTTTCAAAATAATTTGTGTTCCCATCTCTTTTTTTTCCCCATTTCACCATGTCTCTTTAGGGCTCCGTAATTATGGAAAACATAATTACGTAATTTTTTTTTTTTTTGTGAGAAAACAGCATTTGTATGAAATAGAAATCTATTGTAACAACATAAATGCTTTTTTTGATTAATTTAATGCATCCTTACAGAATGAAAGTATTATCTGACCCCAGACGTTTGAACGGAAGTGTATGTAGTCACTGCATTCACCTGGTCACCATTGTCTCATAAAGTGCCGTGGAAGCAGTTTTTGATGTAAATGATACATTAGATCTAAGTAGTTTCTAGGTTCATGCAGGGTGGGAGAGATGGGTCATGCATTTAATTCCATTATTCTTTATAAGAAGGAACATTACTCATAAAAATGATATTACTGGAGTTTTATGAGTTTCCCAGATTTATATATTGTTATATTATACATGTAATAAAATCATAGCCAATGAAAATGAGGTAATAAAGTTCTAAGTAAGCACTATAAATGAAGAGGTTCGGCTTGTACTGCACATTCGCACAATTTCTTTTCACAACATGTAAAGCAGACGGCTTCAAATTTTGTGCAACATCTGCACGCGTAACTGTTATTCCATTTCTTCTGAGCACAAGTCATAATTAAAGCACTCAAGACCCTCCCTATAGCAGTGACACAAAGCTGGAGCTTGAATGGTTTCTTTGACATCTTTACACGTCAGCTCTTTTCCTGAAAATGCCATTTCAGAACGAGACTTTGATCAATATTGTAACTTGTCAGCTCCCCTTGCTCACGTGAGACAAACATTTCAACATGTTCAATACATCAATACAAAGAAGTCTAATCATTTGATTGTAGAACAAGAGAAAACCTCTACACTGTATAAGTTCTTTCAAAATTGCAAACCTTGCTTATAAAAGTTTTAGCAGAGGCTATATAATCCAAGCTTTCCATTATATTTGCTATTCAGTTAAAACACTGTTTGAATAAATAGTTATGCTTGTGGTGTCATGAGGCCAAGAGGAGAGTTTTACAATCTGGGCACAGTTCAACTGGTTTATATATCTCCTTGTAAACACTGCATTGAAATAGATCAGTATTCTGGCAAATCCTAAATGTAAGTATAATTGTAGTAATGTTTTAGTATCATCACCGCCTCATCAAGCACCCTTTGAAAATGCTGCACTGATTGGCCAGCCACATTTGTCTTTACAATGACTAACTGAGTGGGGAATCACAAAATGACAAAGCTGTAGGCTACGGTTTCTGTTTTGAAATTACAAACAAACACAGTAGGGGACATTTAATCATACATGCACAGTAAGAATGAAAATGTTCCGTGATGTGAGTCATAATGTGAGAGTTTTGACTTTTGCATTAAGAGGTTTTTGTTCCTTTGATGTACTTATGTATTAATTTTCCTCTTGCATGATACTGGATTAACTGTTGTATAAAAGCAATATCGCACTCGCAAGAGAGTGTTATGGCTGTATGTCATACAACACTCTTAGTCGTGTGATTCTGCATACACTACTGTTCAAATGTTTGGGTCAGTACTTTTTTTTAAAGGATGCATTAAATTGATCAAAAGTGACAGTAAAGACATTTATAATGTGACAAAAGATTTCATGTAAATGCTGCTCTTTTGAACTTTCTATTCATCAAATAATCCTATTAAAAAAAGCAGCACATAAGAAATGTTATGGCTAACATTAGTAATGGCTAATGAAAATTCAGCTTTGCCAGCACAGTAATAAATCACATTTTAAAATGTATTTAAATAATAAAAAAAAAAAATACTATTTCACGATATTATTGTTACTATTTTTGATCAAATAAATGCAGCCTTAAGAGACTTACTGTACTAACTCCAAACTTTTGAATGGTAGTGATATGGATTCAGTCATTTTAAATGAGAAGGGTGAGGCTGGCAAAAGCTCTTGAGGTGACATCACCCAGAGATTTTATACTCCCAATAAAAGCAGAATAAATGATGATCTCTGGTACACTGTGTAAAGGGTGTTCAGAAGTACTGTAGATAAGATTGACATTTCTTGCAAGAATCATTCTCAGATGTTTTGTGTAATGTGTACACTGGTTATCTTTTTCCCCTGGACTGTGGGAGGTGGAATGAACTCTTGTTGTTCCTTTGCTCTCGGAGACTGCAGTGGGACCATGTGAATCTTAGAGTTCTGGATTACGAGTTAATTGAAATTCCTGAAATTCCTCTGGGGCGGGAGGAGGAGTCAAAAGGAATTGATTAATTCTGCTACTCAAATAATAACTTTCCGACAGTTTGTGTTTGAGGTTTTGCTAAAGAGAGTGTGTAAACCAATGCGTGTGAAAAAAAGAGTATGCAAACCACAGTATCATTACATGGATTTTTGTTATTATTTTAATATGTTCCTTGAGCTTCTTATTATTTAAATTATTTATTAGCCTATTATTAAAAATACAATATATAAAACAAACAAATATAAGTGTGGGAAAAGTATTATTTTCAAAACTCATTCTGCCCCTCTGTCTGAAATGGTCATTTTTTGCTTCAGATCAAGTTCAGTTGGCTGCTTCATCTTTCAACAAAAGTTTTTTTGTGAATTCTTACACTGTGCTGCGTTTACAAAACAATCTGCAATCAAATGCTCCGAACTAAATCATCTGACACCATCCAGGACACCATTAAAAATAAACCACCAACTTGTTCCTTTATTTACAATGAGGAGGAAGTTTTAAGCTATGAAACTTGCAGGATGTTTAAATAGTGCAAAGACCTCTTAATGTGTCAAAAGATCAAGGAAAATTAGACTTCTGATGGCATGACCCCTTTAACAATGGTATTCATGGAGGTCGGTATGTAGTATTCACAGAGGATTTACATTTCACAGCTGATGCTTCCTCATGTTGTAAAAATTCTTACTTTGTTGATTCACATTGTTTTTTTTTAGGGTAATTGTGCTAAGATAGACTGATCCTGAGTAAGTAGTGTCTACTGCAGCTGTGGAAATAAACAGCTCCATTATAGACCCTGCATATACAAGTGGGTGGAGAAGGGACTTAATTGTTATATTTATCACACACACAGGTGCTGTGTTACTGGTTGTCCTCTTCAGATTTCCATAGAGGGATAAAATCATTTGAATAATTTCCCCATGAGTTTCCCACAATGTAAATTTGAACTTAACAGCTCATGTAGGAGAGTATAAAGTTATGAGAAAACAAATAGCATACTACAATAAAAGAGAGTAAACATTTAGTGAGATAATTCATTTTCAACATTACAAGGATAATAGACATAGCATGTAAAGTGACAGAGCAGCGGTTCTTAGCCTTTTTGATTCCAAGTCCAAAAAAATATTTGAAGACCCCCTAAGACCCACGTAGGCTTGGATATTTTTAAGCCTACAGCTTTGTAATCAAACTATGAATGTTAATATATTAAAATGATCAAATAAAACCATTTTCATAATAATAATTTAATAATTAATTTAGTTTAATTCCATAATTCTAGTAGTTTCAAGAACTGAATTTTCCGTGATAACAGGATTTTTAAGTGCTTCAAATTATTATTTTTTACTCACAACTAGCAATTTATATTTGTAAAATTATATTTTGATAAAATGTTTTTAAAATAATTTGATAAATATTTTAAAATACTTTAGCGCTTGACATAAACAAAATGTATATTCATTATAGAACTTTTTTTAATATATATATTTTATTAATTTCCATGACTTTTCCATGTCTAAAAGTCACCCTTTTAAAATCCCTGCATATAACCATTTGCATTTTGCATATGAAAAATATGCATTTTCTAAGACTGTGGGAACCATGATGGTGAAATAAAAATGTTGTTCAGGTATACATAAATTTGAGCCCTGGCTGAGAACCACTGATTTAGAAGATTCAAATGTACATTTATTCTTTTAGCACAAAGCAATGTAAAACTTAAACCAGCCTAAGATGGTTTGTTGGACTTGAAGGCATAGTTCACCCAAAAATTATGTAATCATTTACACACCATCAAGACAAGTTGTTCCAAACCAGTATGAATTTCTTTTTTTCTGCTGAACACAAAAAAAATATGTTTTGAAGAACATGGATGACCAAATTTGATGGGCATGGGCCCCATTGACTTCCATAGGGAAAAAATTAAATGGAAGTCAATGGGGTCCATCAACTGTTTGACTACCAACATTCTTCAAAATATCTTCTTTTGTGTTCAACAGAAGAAAGAAACTCATACAGGTAAATTATGACAGAATCTTCATTCTTGGGTGAACTATCCCTTTAACTCGTCCCCCAGCCTTGGCAGTGAATGACCATAAGATAGCCCAGGAGGACCACCATAGACAATATTCATAATATGGGTTTCTCAATGGCAGACTTAAACTTTTACTACACAATTTTTGATTTTTAGTAATTGAGATAGATCAATACATTCACTTGACGAGCTACAAACCAACACACACAGGCCGGGAATAGCAGTGTGCGCCCCCTAGCGTCTCTGCGTGTACTAGCTGAACTGATTAGCCCTATCTTCCCCTCATCTTGCAGCACAGGCAGTCAGTGCCTGGTAGCGATTTAGACGAGGGCGTATGGACTTGAGGCAGCAGTGAATGCATTTCCCACAGGCTGTGCTCGTACTTTTCTCATCTCGTACGGATTACCACTGAGTTCACACAGCGCCTTAACGCCGTATCGCATTTTTCCACTGCAATTCTCCATCTGAAGGCCTGTCACAGAGTAAAGTGGCTCGGTGTGCGTGTGTTTAGACAGCGGAGCGAGAGCAGCAGCGTGTCCCCGATGGCTGGCTGGAAGGACGGCTCAGTGCAGGAGAAATATCGCCTGGTGGTCGTCGGAGGTGGTGGCGTCGGAAAATCAGCTTTAACTATCCAGTTTATCCAGGTAAGCGGAGAGATGGCGGAATGTTATGAGGGTTTCGGCCCTTTGATGTGAGTGTGTGTAGCACATATGGGTGGATCTTGCTCACAGAAATGGGGACCCCATAAGCGGAAAGGGGGGTTCAGGAATCCAAGCGAGGCCTGCGTCAAATTAACTCTTCGCTTATATTCAAGAAAATTACTGCCTAAACGTAAACGTAAACATAAACATAGCAGGGAAAACGCAAGAGTTAATGATTGTAGGCTACTAGTTAGGGTTAAAACTCTGTAGCGATGCTGTAGTTCATAGACACGAGAAACACTTTCGTAAACTGTTGCATTTTATGCTGTTTTACTTAAAATGATTGAATATAGGACGTTTGTTTGACCTTTCAAAGGCAATATAGGGACTATAATTATATTTAAAGACTGTATAACAAAGTTATGCAACATGTAAAACAATATTGAAAGAAGTTTTTCCCCCTTCTTTTTGATATTGTCCCTTAGAAATTGACCATCTTTCTGCCAGAATACCTTGGTTAACTTACTGTAGTTTCTTCTGTCAAATCTGTAGTAATGAAAATGGCATTTCTAGTGTAAGAAGATTTCAGAATCATGTAATTTTAATTGTTGGTGACAGGGTATTTTACAATACCAAATTATTGTAGTAAAAAAATGCAGGAACAGGTTCGGTAGTTATTGTTCAGACATGGGACAAAACATGTATCCTGCCAACATTTACGCATTAAAATTAAACAGAGATGGTAACTAGAATGTTTGTAACACAAATGTACTATTTGTTTTGATTTGATCTTTTCAGACCATTAATCAGTACTTCATGTAGGCTACTCATATAAATATATTAATCTTAAGAAAACAGGTGTGTGTGTGTGTGTGTGTGTGTGTGTGTGTGTGTGTGTGTGTGTGTGTGTGTGTGTTTGTGTGTGAGTCTTTTATCAAGACATGCAGTAATTTGATAGAAGTATTTATTTAAATTAATTAATTTAATTATGCGTATGTTTATGTCCAATTATGGCATATTAAAGGCTTTAGTTTAAATGAAAATGATCCCATAATTTACTCAAATTATTAATTTACCCTCAAGCCATCCTAGGTGTATATGACTTTCCTCTTTCAGCCAAACACAATCGGAGTTACATTATAAAATATCCTGGCTCTTCCAAGCTTTATAATATGAGTAAGTAGCATCTGAGATTTTGAAGCCCAAAAAAGCACATCCATCCAACATAAAAGTAATCCATACGACTTTAGGGGGTAAGTCCTTCTGAAGCAAAGCGATGTGTTTATAAAAAAATATCCATATTTATAACTTTATAAACTATAATCACTGGCTTCCAGTGTGGTTATCACTGGCAGACCTCTGACCCAACGCATGATGTATTGACTAAAGCGGAATAAGCGCAGAGGATAGAGCAAACCAAAACACCTGTCACAAATTAGAAGTCTAAAATGAGAATTTTTAAAGAGAAATGTCAGAGGATTTCGATATGAGAAGAGGAGCTTGTGACCAGCCAGTCAGTCTCACGTCTTTCTGATTCAGAGCCGGTCCATTTTGTTGGACATTCCGGTCCATAGTGCCACATTTGAGCTTAATAATCAACATTTGTTGGCATCATGATCTGTGGCTAGCAAATGTGCTGAATAAAACACCTGTAGATAGTAATGAGAAGCAGTCTACAATTATACATTAACTAAAAAAACACACACACTTCAGCATGCAGAAAGGAAATCCGCTGTTAAGTGTGGGATGTAAGAAGATTGTGTTGAATTTCAGAGGTGCTAAATGTGTGAAAACAAGAGTAGCCCAAAGAAAACCAAAGAAGACCCTTCCTGGTGGAGTATTTCTAGAAGACTGTTCTAGTGAGAAAGCACAGCCCAGCTGTTTTCTGACTGCAGGCTTTCCCATTCAGATGTGTGTTACTCAGGGAGGTTTCATTCTGAGTCATGTTGGGTTAATGATCATGGCATGGAGAAGCCGGAAGAGGAAGTCCCTCCAATCCTGCTCGGTCTCTTGTATGTATTTGGGAATGGGAAACTATTCGCTGCCTCCTGACTCACACCTCTTTGCGGCAGTATGTTAGATGCATGTATGACATTCTTTGTTAGTTATGCTGTTGGGAAACAATTGATTGCAGTCAAAATTTGGTTGCAGAACTGCAGTGATGCATTAACATTGCTTGACTGCTATACATTTGTAAGTCGTATAGGCTACAGGGTGCCACAATGATGACTTCACTACAAAAACAGACTGGTTGATCTCAAGCTAGCGTCATGACATCGGCCATCAGCGGCAGTCAGGCATGTGACTCAGACCAAAATGGATTAGTTTACGTCATTGTGATGCAATCCAAGCTGTGTTGTAGTATATGGCCTTTCATGGAGTTTCATACAGATATTATTTAGTAGCAGATTAAATTTTTTCTTGTTTTATTGTAATTTTATGATTTATTAATAATATAATCTACTCAAGATCTCAAGTTGATTTTAGTCATTTTTTCAGTTTTAAACTTTTTTTTTATACCTTGTGTTGTGGATATTAATTAATAAATTGTTTAATTAATAATATTTGGTAATAAGGTCTCGTTTGTTAACATTAGTTAATGTATTAGCTAGCTAACATGAACTAACAATGCATTTGTTAAGCATTTATTAATCTTTTTTAATGTTAGTTACTAGTCAAGCTGAATTTTGTCATTATTTTTTTTTATTTTCTTAACTTTAAAAAATGTTGGGTGAATGTAGTTTGTAATCTTTGTGATTTACAGCTGCTAGAACATCATTGTCATCAACCTCCTAGATGGTTTTAGTGCTCAGCTGAGCTTCTTGTGAGTAACGGCTGTTTCTCATTAGCAAAAGTGTGAAAGTGAAATTGTTGCAGGCCTCACTGACCTTTTTATCGCTTCAGATGGTCTCAGAGTACACTAAGCATAGCATGGCGCTGTTGAAGGCACGATCACATGTTAGCTAATATTAGCTCTTATCACTGGCTCTCTCATTCCTTACGGCTATAGCATGGTCAGAGCTTGTGGTTATTGTACGTATGTGAGTGTTTTAGATTTAAACAAGGCCTATACTATAGAGAAAGCAGGAACAACAACGTCCAGCTCAGAGGCTCATGGTAATATTGTGAAATACTATTACAATTTAAAATAATGGTTTTCTATTTGAATATACTTTAAAATATAATTTATTTTTGTAACGCAAAGCTGAATTTTTATCAGCCATTACCTCGGTTTTGAAGTCATCGGTCGGTATGTTTTCGGTATACAGCAAGGTGAAAAAAACAACCTTTTTTTTATTAAACAGTGGTTTACTGAACAAACTATGTTTGTCTTTAAAAAAAAAAAAAGTCTGGTGCTGTTGTAAACTTGTAATTGGGGGAAGAGATTTGAAGTGCTTAGAAGGTTGGTTAGAATGTAGTGCTTAGAAGGTGGTAGGTTAGAATTATTGCACTTCCATTCTAATCCGCTCCATCTATGCGCCTCCACTCTTTCATTAAAGTCTGCAAAGTTAAACGTTGGCTCGCTTATTGTCAGGATAAAACTTTATGCGAAATAGAAATACTTGTGTGAAGTTGTAACAGTTACAGTTAAGTATACAACCGCAAGGTGTACACTGAGGAAAAGGCATCTCAAATGCATTAAACAACATTCGTATCTGAGAGTAGGCAAGCTATGTAGGTTTATGATTTAGTTTGAAGAGCTTACTATAAAACACGTCTTATGTTTAAGACAACATGGATCATGCACTTATTCAGGAGCAGCTCACTATGTGTCCTTTGTTATTTCTCAGATGTGTTCGCAACATCAAAGTAAATCGATATAAACAATATAGTCCCATTCTAGGGGGGAAACTCTTTAGTTTTAAATTATGTTCCGCACACAGAGAAGTTCTACAAATTCAGTGGATATATCAACGCTGAATTCGTTAGGTACTGACCTGTACAGATCATTTTCAGTATAAATATGTGTACTACACCCCTAAAAAGAAATGTTTCTTGAGCAACGAATGATTTCTAAAGGATTGTTTGTGTGACACTGAAGACTGGAGTAATGGCTGCTAAAAATTAAGCTTGGCCATCACAGAAATAAATTACAGTACATTAAAAAAATTAAAATAGAAACTAATAACTGTAATTGTAATATTTTACAGTATTACTGGTGTTTTTGATCAAATAAATGCAGCCTTGGTGACTTATTTCCTTAAATGTCCCTCTGTGGTGAAAATCAAGTTTTAATGGTGTTTTTAATATGGTTTAAGACAAACCATGTGCAAATTCATAAGTCAACACCATTGCTGTCACAGGAGGAAGACGAAGGTACACAGGATCCAATATGAAGTGATTTAATAATACAATAAACTGAGGAACTGACAGAAAGTGTTACAGAGGATGTGTGAAACAAAGGTTAAAACACACAACACGCAAACATCAACCGACAACTGAAAACTGAACACAGAGGAACTAAATACACAGAGGTAACGAAATAAATGATGTACAGCTGTGGTGGAAGATTAGTGTCCATGGGAACAGATGAGTGGCGCGAAACAAAGACAAAGAAACATGATTGATGAAAACAAACTGAAAGTACATGAAAGTGAAACGAAAGATGAATGAGTCCAGATAACTGGACAGAACGCCCCCTCCCAGTAGGCGTGACCCCACTCCGTAGTAGCAGAGGTGAGGGAGGGATGGAGGGATGCTTTGGAGGTGGCCGAGGTGATGATACAGGGAAGAAAGGAGATGATGGGGTGATGGTGAAATACGGACGACGAGCGGTGATGATGAAGGGCGTCCGATGGCACAGACCCAGAGCCCAGAGATGACAGCCCACAGTGGAGACAAGGGAGGGAGTAGCCAAGGTGACGTGGAGGCTGACATCAACTGGGAGACGACCGACGGAGGCAGAGCCGATGGATCCCAAGGTGCAGACGGAGAGCCAGTGGAGACGAGCGACATCGCTAGCAAAGGAGGCCCAGGCAATCCCGTGGCAACGATCGTCTGAG